GCTGTTGGATGAAGGTGGATTGGGTCAGGAGTTTGCTCATGACCAGTTTAGATATTAACACCGTGGCCATGTGTCTGGGTTGAACCACAGTATGCTAATCACTTGCCCTACCGCTGTATTAATTGACTGTTACTCATAAGCAAGGTCACATGGCATTGAGACAATGTGCCTGTAAATGGAAAGGGAGACCAGGAAAAATAATTTGTTTTAATACACGGGGATGGATACTTTATTAAAAGCTTATCAACTACATTGAATTTAAAGATGTTCAAATTGATTGCGTATGATAACGTAAATAAATGGTTACATTTAATTATGTAAATATAAATGGACAAGTATTAAAAGAAAAGGGGAAAACCTATTCTTATATTTTGACACTGGCAAAGGAGGTCCCATGATGTACAAGTATTATTACACAAACACAGATGCTAGAAATGCAAAAAAAATATGCTTATTCAGCTACCGTACCATACGAATAGTAATAACGATTAAACGCGCTTTTCATCAGTTCACTCCAAAGGCCGTTAGCGTAATAAGCAATGCAGCATTTATGTGGGAATAGTGACATTATTGAGGCGTACACCATCGCAACCCGTCGCGCCCACTCAACAGTGCACACGCTCACAATATTCAATTCAACACTGAGGCTTCTAATTTATTAAATAAATGTGTACTCAATATGTTTGACTCAGTAAAATTAGGGATAAATACGGTTTTTGTTCATTTTGAACGTTTGGCGCGAGGGCTATGATGCCAGCGATAGTTGACACGTGCTCAATGGACATCTGCTGTCCCAGTTGGCTGCGTGCTTAATGCTGTTTCGGCAGTAAGTCGACTTTGTGGCGTACGCCGGCTCTGCGCTGGGTGCTGCAGTGACCCCTACGGTATAAGATGTTAACTCCCTCTCCTGGTGTACAAGAGGTTGTGGGTTCGATCCAAACCCTGACGCCTGTTTATTTGGAGTGTGCATGTCTCTCTCCTCGTAGTCACATTCATTTTTGCCCGAGTCCTTCGGTTTTTCCCTCCACATTTAGGAAGAACACACGTGTGGAAAAATCGGCTGCTGTAAATTCCCACGAGAAAAGCCACTTCGTTGAGCTATCGTGTGTGGCCAGGTCGCTTCTGAAAAAGTGGTCATATAGCTCAGTGGGCATTACCTGTTAAAATAATTAGATTTAGACATCTATGAGGGGGCTAATTTTACCTCATACACGGCCAGTTCATACAATGGAACCATTCCGTTGCTTACGAGTTTAGCCTGTTCAAGGGTGGCCAATTGGTGCTCTTTATTTACACAAAGAGATAACCCATTGTCACTTTGACACAGGAGATCTGGGTAGACAGATTTAGAATCAGAATCTTACATTTATATTGGAAGAATCTCATGAGCTATGAAGCTCTTTTTCAAAGATGTCCACTCTGGGCTGGGTCAGCGAGTAACATTAACACAAAACTACAACAATGGATTCGAGAATCGAGAGTAAGATCGAGAACGGTTCAGCAAGTCACTTAAAATAAGTCAATTGAATATTCCATGGACAAATTGCATAAGTACACACATTCCTGTAAATTTGTCAAGAGCAAATGCGAGCTTGGGCAAGGCAGCAAAACAAGAACATTAATGAAGTTTAAAACATGAAATTAAAATTCTTAATTCCAAACTTTCGCAGCTCTTAAAAAAATCCTTTTTCACACCATCAATAGGTAAACTCCCCCTCCCCCCCCTCGCCAACCGGCATGTTCACCCGCATGTACACCACCTCTACACCGTTCATCATGCTAAGTCGGCCAATCAAATGCGAATTTGTATGCTAATTCCTTTGTCAAGGCACCTTGTTTCCTCGCACACAGCTTAAAGGTCGCGGTCTGAGCGTGGCTGTGTTTCACTCCAGCGCTGTCCTCGAGACAGCCTGGTCCCTTCACCTGATGAAGGCCGCTTGTGTTGTGGCCGAAACGTCGTGATTTTTGTTGTTTAATTTTTTACCTACGTGACTTTACCGAATAGATCCAAAGAGTATAGAATTCTTAATGTTTGGGAATCGGGCATGATACCAGCCAGTGCAAATGACAAACATCACATCCTGCGCTTCATGCAGGCAAATGAAATAATTTTCATTAGCATTTATTTATTATTATTTTGAATTCGGGCCTGCGATTTTGCGACAAACCATTATTCCAGATTTTCATTTTCAAAGTAGATGTTTCCACAATTGTCTAATTATATCCTTTGTTTCCTAAATCCATAAATAACGCCCCAGTCCAACACAATCCCTATTTTTCTTTCAATTAGTTCACATGGTTCATGTGGAACTGTAAATAGACTGCAGCATGGAGCACTCTTTGATTTCCAATGCTGGATTTATATGCGGAAATGCTAATTGTGTGTACACAAATCGGCCGCATTCCTCTAGCGATGTCTGGGATGAATGTTCGTGCCCGGTTCGTGGTTTGCAAGAGCAAGCCATTGCACGTCCATAACTAAACCATGCACTCATCCACGAGAAGAAAATCCATTGCTATTTGAGAGGACGCATTGAGCCGTGGCGGTAGAGGGGTGCGTATACGGACCTAATTTTTGCTGCAGAATATTCATCTGATGCGTGGACTGAAAGTGGACATTCGCTACGGAGATCGACATTTCCCGCAGCTTGTGAAGTGACGTTCCTGGCGTGAGGAGAGAATTCTCTGCCAACTGCTCACTTTCGATGCTTTTCTACTTTTGTGGGTGCCTTCGTGTGCATTCTACGTGTGGTGGCAATATTAGTGTCTCCGGAGATCGGGGGGGGGGGGGGGGGGGGGTGAGAGTGTCAGCTGCCTCATTCGTAGATCCTCATATTAGTCTCTCAGCCGTGCGCTGATGGCTCAGCACGTAGGCTGCCCGTAATCCAGCACTGGAGGCAGCAGCGAGGGTGGATGGACCACACGCAAAAGTTGCGTCGTGGAGGTGCCATAACCCTGGCCTGCCAGGTGAATGCAGGACATCAAAAATGTGTGACTGTTCTGTCTGTATCGGAAAGAGTGACACTCCCCCTTGCACGTGTGCATTTTCTCCGGGTGCTCCAATTCCCTCCCACATGCAAGTACGCATTCTAATTGGCCTATAATACACTCACATAGAGGACAACAGAGCTTGGACGATTTTTTGGCGCCGGCTCAGCTCGTGGCAGCTGCCTTCCTGCTTGCTTATGGTTCTTCTCACCTCTGAGTCGTCCTCTCTCTCTCTTCGAGAGTGAGCAAATATTGTACGACAGCGCATTCCAGGTTACATTTATTACTATATTGCATTGTACGCGCGGTGGCAATATTGGTTTATCCAGAGGTAAGCAGAGTGAGTGGTAGCTGTCACGCTCATGATGCTTAGTGTGGCTTGGAAGCGTATTATTAAATAATACATATTGCAATTCCTTATAGGGGAAACACATATTAATTAACGGATTACTAATGTAGCATATAATCACTATAACACACATTCCAACTAATTACTAATCTACAACTCATTACTAATCATAACCATTGACTGATTACCAATAGATTATATCATTACAATACCCCCCCTCCGCCTCAAATCACTGCACCTGAAATGAGTTAAATGATGACGTCACCCTGCTGCTGCTCTATTTAAGACCGGGAGCAAGTGGGGGCTTTACCATTCTGGCGAATTGCCCGATGATGCTGGATGTAATTACCAGCGGCACGTCGTATTCAAACTGTAAATGTTGTGGATTCACTCTTCAACACACCGGTGGGCTAAAGTAGTGAACTAATTGTCTTTTGTCAACGTGACATTTTTTTGCTGATTGGCCGTGTCGGGTGGTGGAGGGTTACGACACATTTATAAATAACGCGATCTAACCCAAAAACCTTTATTATGAATAATATTGGTCGCGAAAGCCTACGTGTTAAACTAACACACCATGCACTGACTCACACCATGTACTGACTCACTCACACATCATGCACTGACTCGCTCATCATACACTGACTCACTCACACCATGCACTGACTCACTCACACATCATACACTGACTCACTCATCATACACTGACTCACACATCATACACTCACTCACGCTGCTGCTGACTCACTCACACATACACTGACTCGCACATCATACACTCACTCACTGCTGCTGACTCACTCACACATCATACACTGACTCACTCACCATACACTGACTCACACACCATACACTCACTCACGCTGCTGCAGACTCACTCACACATACACTGACTCGCACATCATACGCTGACTCGCACATCATACACTCACTCACGCTGCTGCTGACTCACACATCATACACTCGGAGTGTCGTGCTGCCAGCTATGGCTGCAGTTTTTTGTCGTACGTGTTATGTATATCGTTTATTGTTAAATTTAAAATCACAGTTCCTATGATTACTGTTGTTACATTGTTTTTATAGCTTTATTTTGGTGATTCGAAAAGATATGGTTAATCTAAATTGTCTTATGGTTGTTGTTGTTGGCTCGCACCACATTGATTTTTGCACACAGCGTTTTAATGAGTTTTTTGCGTGGAATATTTGCTGGTTTATTCCAGGACGTTTCTGTTACGCGTTGTCGCTTTAAGATGTTCTGTGTTCAAATTTGTTTGTTGCCGTTGCACCCGACTTAAGAGCCGCATGGCTCACAGAGCTAAACCTAATAAATAATAAATGAAACTTGAAGTTAACATCTCGCACGTCTGCAAGCCGTTGCTGATGCGTTGCGGGTGTGCGTGTCTATGTTGAACTTTTGTTTTAGAACCCTGCAAATTGGAGGTGCAGGGGGAAGGGCAACAAACTAAGCACAAAAATCTGTTCTAAAGAAACGAGTTTTCAATGTGTATGATAAAGTGCACAGTTCCCAGTGGCTTTCTAACATCGGAGGGAAGAGCGTTCCAGATGGCCGCAGAAGCGCATCTGAAAGCGCGCTCTGCAGTGACCGTCTTTATTCGATGGCTCGCTAAAACGTCTGTGCGTGCGTGTCTCCCCACGCGTGAAGGTGGCCCCCCGTACCTGGTGGTGCGCACTCCCCCGGACCGCGAGCGGCGCGACCGCTACTCCCTGTGGCTGCACGCGCGCGACGGAGGGACGCCCCCCCACGAGGCGGCCACGCGCGTGCACGTGCGCGTCACCGACGAGAACGACAACGCCCCCCGCTTCACGCAGAGCCAGGTGAGAGGCTCTCGCGCGCGCGCGCGCGCGCGCACACAAAGGCAAAGATCCCCCGTGTAGCCTTAACAGACTGTTGGGGCAAGTGCTGTTAGCGAGTAGCACCTGTGAAGGCCGCCACGGCACACGTGCTTGTCGGTGGCCAGCACCACGCCCGGCCGCCTTTGTCTCCCTAGTTGCGATGTTTAATACACACCGCACCAGTTACTGATTTGAGGCTGAGTCGACCTAGGGGAGGCCCAGGCCCGGTTGAGATTATCGTCACCGGTGTTGGCCGTGATCTTGGGTCGCCCGGTTCGTAGCGCAGCGCGCTAACTGCTACACTACCACACACACACGCACACGGACGCACACCAATATCAATCTCCGCTATTCGCCACTAAGTGACGGTGACGTCACCACGACGCCTGTGGCAGGCCAGGTGCACGTTGACGCCACGTGAAGTGTCGAAGGCTCGCTGGCAGGAGGAGGTCTCGGGACAGACCCGGGTGCCTTGGGTTGGCTAACTGAGATGACTGGCAGATGCACACCACCTGTGCCCCCTCTACCAAGCCAACGTGCTGTATTTTAGCCACCCGGAGCTCCGCTCATTGTTGTGAGCATCGCTCCTCTACGCTCAGTTGTTGCTAGAGGGCGACTGCCTCCAACTGCCCAGTAGCGTCCTTCACGAGCCTCCTCCACGGAGACCAATCTTTACACCGCTGGTACCAGTCTTTGGCATGTCAAATCAGCTCCACATCAGTCCATCTCTTTTCTAGCTCGTGCCACGTCCGTTTAGTCATATCTGGCTTCCATCTGGCTTCTATCTGGCTGATCAGAAGTTGCTTGGGAATTATGCGGTGGCTGGGCATACGGGCTACATGACCCAGCCAACGTAGCCTCGCTTTCCGGAGGATCTTACTGATGGGACTGTGTCCAGATCTTTAAAGGACCTGTGTACTCCTCACACAATCCTGTCTGGTTTAACCCAGGATGGATAGTAGGCAGGCTAGCTTGAATGTTTCAAACCGGTGCAGATATTCCTTTGGATGGCTGCATCCTTTGCAAGCATAGAGAAGGGAGGGCGTAACTATGGCCGAGAAGACCCGGAGATGTGTGTGGGGTGACAGGGCAGGTAGCTTCTACACAGCGATATTCGGCCGATGAAAAGATAATGCCGCTCCAGTGATTCGGAGTGAAACCTCAGCTGCCAAACTAGAGCTGGTCATTAGCACACTGGCCAAGTTTGGAAACTTCTCCACTATCTCCACAACTGCCACAACATCACTCATGGGGAGTTTAAGGGAGGGAGCGATTGGTGACATAAAATACCCAGGCAGCTGTCATACGCGCACACGCACATACGTGTACACACGCACGTGCGACTGCTGCCATTCGCCACTAAGTGACATTTCTTTCTGCCAGGATAGTCGCACGTTCAGCGGTGAAATATCAATGACAGGAAGGCATGGGGCAGACACAGATGTTACAGGTTAACAGACCAGGGTAACGCTTCAACGGCTGCTGGGGTGAGAGCGACCCAACGCCTTGGCTTATTGAGTGTTCAGTCTCTCTCACACTCACGGTCAGGCCGTCCCTACCGAGCGTCATGCCATTGCACCCGAGTGATGGAAACGTCGCGAGTAGTCGCAAGTGCACACGCACACGTGGACGGCAACACACGCGGATGGAAAGAGCCTTATTTCTTTTTGCCATTCGGTGGTGGCGGTGGTGGTTGAGTGTCGGCGAGGTGCACGTTGAGGCCGTGGGGAGTGGTGCGGATTACGCAACTATAAACAAAACTATAAACTACTTTTTTTATTTTACCAGGTAAGAGCCACGTAGCTCTTTTTCAGAGGCGATCTGACGACAAATGATAGCTTAACGAAGCCGCTGATCACGTGGAAAATACAGAGCAGGACGAAGGACCCAGGGAAAAATCCAAGTGACCACAGGGAGAACGTGCAAACTCCAAATATACAGCAGGCGTCAGGGTCGGGATCAAACCCACAACCCCCTGTATACCGGGTGAGATAGTTAACATCTCGCCACCGCGGCAGATTACCTGACAAGAAGCTACTGATAGGACCCAGGTGTTGTGGCTGCTGGGTTAATAGATGGGGTGTCTTGCAGATGCGCAAATGGAGCTTCCCGTTGTGTTAATGTGCCGTCGTCACCTCCCGTCGCTCCATTAATTGTTATGAGCGCAGCTCTCTGGCCTGATTTTTTTTTGTTCTGGAGAGCAGCCACTGCCAGGTGTCTAGTGCCATTACTAATCCACCTTCTCCTCCACCGCGGCGAAACGTGACACTGCCTGCATCAGCTGGCAAAATCCACTGCGGTCAGGCTAGGTGCTCATCAGTCAATTTACTCTCGAGCCTATGCTTTACCGTCTATGGATGCCCTCTATCGAAGGCTGCCCGGACACGTGGTATCTGAGCATGCAGGCTACATGACTCAACCAATGCAGCCTCATCAGCTGGAGGAGCCCTCTGCTTGGACTCTGTCCAGAATGTTTAGGTATCTGTGAACTCTGCATACAGTCCCGCATGGACAATCACATATCGAAGCATTGGTAGGACATACACGTTATTTCAAAGCATCGCAGACTCGTATGCATCCACGATTGTTGATTTTCAAAATGCATTGTAAACGCTAAAAGCACACGTTGACGCTTACATGCCTCCATACGTTCATATCCAAAGCCAGGATTCGCCGCACCTATGAAAGCCGGCACGGCACACGAGGGGGTGGGTGGCCAGCACCACGCCCCGTTGCCTTTGTCTTCTGAGTTCTGCTGTTTACACATCGCACCAGGTACTCGTTTATGGCCGAGTCGACCTAGATGAGGTACAGGACCGGTTCACATATTCGCCACTGTTTTTGGTTGTAAGCGGGATTTGAAACCAGGCCACCAGTTTCCTCTGGCAGTGCATTAACCACAACACTACCGCTCCCAAAATGTGCTCATATATACTGTATACACACACACACAATCATGTATTCCTGTCTAAAATGCATTTTTGCATGCAGACTTACAAGAGGCACTAGAAGATACATCTCCCTGGGCATGTTTCAGTGGATACGGAACCAAAGTGTTGTACCCTCACTGCTTCTCAACATCATTTCTCATTTCATCATCCCTCTTCCATTTGAATTCAACAAGGCTGCTCCATTAACAAAACGACTCTCCCGTTTGGTCACGAAAATTAGAAACGTTAACCTCCTTATTCTTTGTGTCTTTCGTCACGTAGATAGGTACAGTTTAAGAAAATAATAAATATAAAATAAACAAAAAACTACGACGTTTCGATCACAACACAAGCGATCGTCATCAGGAGGAAAGAGGGGTGAAGCTGCTGAATGCAGACTGTGTTATTGGGTGTCGTCCTAGGGTCATCAACGAAGTGGGCGGGGCTAGTTATGTTAATGTGAGAGGTCAGCATGTTAATGTGTGATCGGAGAGCGGCGAGATATTAGCTTGTTCGTGTGAGAGATTAGCGTGTTCATGTGAGAGATTTGCGTGTTCATGGGAGATCGCAGAGCCACCGTGACGCAGAGGTCGGCGTCCGGAGGTGGCCACGTTGGCGCGAGAAATGCAACCTGCTTGATGTGAAATCAGAGAGCCGAAGCCACGGGGAAAAATAAAAATAAATGTACATCGGAAAGGTGGCAGGATGGGAACATCACAGCCAGTTATGACTTAAACTTGTTGATGACGTCTTTGCGATGATTGATGAGTTTGTACCCATCCTCTCAACCAGTTTAAGTCATAACTGGCTGTGATCTTCCCTTCCTGCCTGTGATATTCCCTTCCTGCCACCTTCCGATGTAATTTTTTTGTTTTTCCCCGTGGCTTCGGCTCTCCGATTTCACACGGCACGCGGGGTGGCTACCCAGCACCCTCGTGGCAATATTTTACTCGCCGCATCACCAGCTACTCATTTTGGGCCGTGAGCAGGAATCAAATTCAGGTCGCCAGGTTCGTAGCGCGGCGCACTAACTGCTGCACCACCGCTCTCCACTTGAATATACGCCCGTGCAAACACACACACGTGTCCAAGCTTACTCAGATGCACATTCTTCCATGGCCACTCACCCGCACACATATACGTGGTCACGCGTGCTAATTAACACACGTACAATAGGGTAAACCTCGCAAGCACCCACACCGATGGTTATAGGCACTCTCAAGCATTCACACACAAATGAGGCGACGTATCGTAGCTATACACACAAACACGCATTCGTCTTCCGCGGCAAGAATCACAACTCGGCGCGCACTTTCAGGACGACACGCACAGACGCACCGAACGTCTACACACGTGCGCTGAAGGCGGGGTGAACATACTACGTTGAAGAATACGCAGGCAGGCACGTCGACAGGCAGGAGAGGTATGTACATATTTCCTGATTTCAGGAAATAATTAATATTTCTATCCGTATGGAAGAAGCCTTAATGACCTGGATGGGGCGGTGGGCAGGGGGCATTGCTCGATCGGAGCCACTCGGGGCACAGTTGACTCGCCTGCAGACAGCAGCGTGGTTGAGCTGCCGGGACGCCAGGGTACCCTTTGTGATTCCGAGTTGAAGTCCCAGCCGGAATTTCTCTCCGTTCCCATCATCTCTCCCAGCACAAGGAGCAGCACCGCGCAGTGAGACAGCACGACTCCACGGGGTAGCCAGCAGTGAGTGACCTATCCGGACTAATTCACGTCATAGGAATGTGGAATTTCCATCACCTACTCGGAACCAATTACGGAGAGAAAGCAATCATTATACAATGAGTTGAGCTTCACTTTTCAACATTATACTTTTGAGTCGTATTTAATTGCGTACTGGCATTTGTCTGTGTTGTACAGTGACCTTTAAATTATACCACCTGGATAAAACAAAACACGAGTAAAACATTTCATTTCATTTATTAGGTAGAGCCCTGTGAGCCATGCGGCTCTTGACTCGGGTGCAACCGCAACAAAACAAAAACATGAACAAGAAACATCTTAAAGTGACTACACGCAACA